ATTTGAAAGTCTCAAATCAGCAGAGCTCCTTGAAAAAGTTAAGTGGATACAAGACACCATCTTCTCCAAATTTTTCTTGGTTAAATTGCCTTTATCTACTAAATAAAGATCTGTATTGTTTATACTCTGGCATGGTAAATTTAGAGTCATTTTGGTTCAGATTCCAAAATAACATTTGAGAAGATGCTTGGTCTTTTCTGTCTGTGACCATATCCTTGGGCTTATATCCAGTGAAAATCTAAAATCCAAACAGCTGCAACTCAAATATCTAATCAGGAGGATCACGTTAGATAATTATTGATCTCAAGGGGTTACGAGATGGCTGTAGTGAATTCTTATAATTTTATATTGCGTCAGCATCAACTTCGAACACAAATTTAACTTTCTCTACCTGAAGTTGGACTCAGTTTCCCTTAATGCAGTTTTCAGTTCTACACCACACCCAAATGGCTCAAGTCAGCAACCAGAGAGGAAAATTTAGAGGCATCTCCCCACTAGCAGACTGGTGCTTTCATTAAATAGAACATTCCGGCATTTCATTAAAACTTAAATTGACCTATGCAATCCAGGAAAGAGGTTTTCCCTGATTCATTATGCCCTCTTTGTCAGCATCTCCAAGGCAAAAATCTTTGAATGTGTTTCCTATTGTAGTGGTGACTTCTACCTGAAGAACCAGGGACTGTGCCAGGCTGGATTTTCCCTGGACACCAGAGAGAACGTAGGATTGAGCTTCAAATGCAAGCAGGATGGTCAAGCAGGCATAGCTGGACACAGGTCAGATAAGAGCCACAAGGGCATCTGGTGGATGAACAGGTTCTCCTGTGACAGAACACCTGGTCTCTGGTTTGAAAACTAAGTATTAGGCTACCCAGCAGGTTAAAGTATATCCTGTGCGTGGCACACTGGAAACACCCATATCCAGCCCCCTGTTTCCCATCAGTGTAGGATTACTAGTTGCTCTAGTATTGCAAACCCCAATTTAGCTGGGGCTCTGAAAACAAAGAAATTGAATGAAAATAAATTGTAGTTAGGATGACAAAGCTGCAGTCACCTCCTATGCTATCCAAAACAGTAGCCAATAGCCACCTATGACATCTAAATTTAAAATATGTAGAAAATTCAGTTCCTCAAACCCACATTATGTTTTAAGTACTCAACATCCACATGAGCGAGAGGCTACCATATTGAATGCCAGAGTTACAGGTCATTGCCCACCATCACTTCTATTAGATAGTGCTGAAGACTGCATGCAGTGAATGGCGTGTGCACCAAATAGGAATACTTGACATTTACTGTTACTGGTTTAAAGACTTTATCCCCTTCTCACATTGCCCTTGATTTTTCATCACATAAAAAATAAAAGTTTCTTCATATTCTATTAAAATTTGAAGATGTGCTATTTTGTTTCACCTGTAAGGATGCCTGCAATGAAAAGAGAAAAAAGTCCTTTCTCTCTAAAGAATTAATTCATTTGCTTTAATCAGGTAAGAGATACATATCTTTATTTCCTTCTTTCCTACAGCTACTCAGAAATAACTCAATGCTTAATCTCTGTAACTATTATTAACTAAGGTTTTGAATAAATGTACTTTTATCCCCTCTCCCATACAATGTCTGACAGTCTACCTTAATATATTCTAAATATTTTATATTAAGGAAACATAATTCCTTTGGGTGATATGTAGAACATAATAAGTTGTATATGAATAGAACTCTACTGCCCTCTTTGTTTCATGAATGAAAGTTTTAAGCAAGTCAATATGACCAAAAGTTTTTTCCAATGGTAAATGAAAGGGGAAAAAAATCTGTAACACTTATTACATCAACAGATAGTATACATCAACACCAAAAACCACTTATCTTTTCTTTACAAATTACACAAAAGCAGAATTAAATTTTAACTATTATTATTTACAATACAGAAAGTAAAGGTTTTAAGAAATGCTGTTTTTATTGTTCCAATTCTACTTAGCTCTTTTGTATAAAATGAGTATCTACATGTTTGAGGATTAGTTCACTCTATCAACTCAGACTGTATTGATCAAGTGCCAGGTGCAGAAATGATTTGGCATTTCTATAAATAACCCATTTTTCTTATATGTAAAAGAATCATAAACCAGAAGGCAAAATTGTTTAAAAAAAAAAACTAGTATAAGAAAAAGAATTGCCGATTAAATGCATTTCCTATTGTACTGAACTCACATAATCAGTTTATAGTTTTTCCTTTGTTTAAAGGGAATTATTCACCTCAATCTCAGTTTGAATTATTGAAAATTAAATTTAAACTTTTTTTAAATGTAGAAAACTTCAATTAAACAGTGAATTTCCAATCCTTGAAAAATGTCCTCTATAAACCAATTTTCCTCAAGATGTAAGCAAGATGAACAAAAAGTATAGATATGATTAATGTAGATTCAATTTTAAAGTCAAAGTTATAGAGGTCGACATTTGCCCACATTTATTTCAAGAAATGCTTACCATAGGCAGAACTCTAGTGCCCTCTTTTGTATGAAGAATGTAATGCAACCCAAGTGCAAAACAGGGTAACTCCCAGAATTAGAGCAATGGCTTAAGTAGGTTGTTTTCTAACCAGCTGCCAACTACTAAGGCAGAAGACACTTACCTGAGTAACTCTATCCAGTTTTTTTCTTTTTTTGGCTCAACCCCCCCTTTTTTATGAATAAAGCTTATTTATTCTGACTTAATTTTTTTTAATTATTGCAGAAAATAAAGCAATTTAAAGTCATAAATGCAGGATTTTAAAAAATGATAGACATGTTTTAGGGAGTTTAAGAAGTAAAATCCTAGGAGTTCCCAATTTTAACAAATAGAAACTAATAGAGAATTGGCATTAGGCTGGGTCCCAATTTTAATGCTGGTGGCACATACAATCCATCCTGCTTTCAAAAACTAAGTGTTTAAAACCAGCAAAAGACAAAAAAAGTTAGGATTTTGTTGTCTTAGCCTTACAGCCAGTGACTGAAGCAGTCTTTTGCTAAGAGACCTACACACAAATTAACAGGTCCTCTTTGTTTCTCATTAGACTGTACCCAAGCTTTCTCTGCATGACAAATATGTCATTCTAAAGATTTACTCTTATAGAGGAGGTAAAAAAAACAAAACCAAAAAACCTTAGCCTTTGTTTTTGATTGGAACACTTCCTCTCCTCTCTACCCCAAGAATGAACCTAGAAAGTAGAGGCATAAAGAGGTTCCACTTCTGCTGTAGAAACATAAGACAATTAGGTAGTTAGTACCCCCAGTCGTAACCACCCGCCACCTCAAATGAAGCCACGCTGTTTAAATCTTCCAAGCAACCTCTATCAATATTTATGCAGAGCAGTTAACATTTTATAAAGATGGATATGTTCTCTTAGCACCAACCAGTGATATTATGATTGCTGAATATTTAATGGAATAAGAAGTCTCATAAACTGCTTTTTATGACAATAAAATCAATCTTTATTTGGAAAGCCAGATAATATTAACTTTTTTCAAAAATTTAATATGCATATTTTAAAATGGAAAACACATTTCTCATTAATTTAACCAATTAATCCAAAGGAAAAAAGTGTAATACTGTGATTGCAAATTACCAATCAAATAAACACTTTTTGCATATATACAGAAAAACATTTTCCGCAAGTTTTATAAGATTTGAAGGGCACTTCTGTACCTCACCCTCACAGCCTTCAAGGAGGAGGAAAAGCCATCATGCTCCCACATTACTCAACAAAGACAACACATTCAAGCTGCACAGACACATTTATCAATGGCCTTAGAATACAGGTTAGGGTTTCCTGGTGGTAAATTTACCTTCCTAACCACATTATGATCCATGCATATAACAAGTACAGATTCAGTCATAAATTCACTATGACTCCAGTCATAATGGGGAGGAGCAAAGTCAGCTCAAGACTCTTCATATGCTATACAATTCACAGTACAACACTAGATAAAGCAGAAGAATCTTGAAAGATCACAATGATAAGGTTCCCCCAAAACCTAGAATAAACTGGAACAAACTGAAAAAATGGCCCTTTTTTGGAAGCCAATATTCAGACCAATGTGAGGGAAGAGGATAGAAATAGAAGCAGAAACAGAACGGCAGAATTGCTCCAAATATTTGGCACATATCCATACAAATAATTCTCCTGAAAAAAAAATTTTTGAGGTAGCAAATATTAGAAATGTACTTAGTTTATGCTAAAAATAGAAAAGAAAAATAGGAAAAATTGAGGATAGGCCCTATTTCCATCATTAACTTAAAAAAATTTCTACTTATTTATAAAAACTCCTCTTAGTAAAGTGCTATGAAATGTAATTTTACTCCTATATTTAAAGATGTCATTAAGCATCTTTTAGCTAAAGAACAAAAAACAACTTGGGTTTCTAAACATGTTTTCCCCTCTGCATCCCCTGCCAAGATCCTTCTGAGTTTTGAAGTTCAAGCTCAAGCTGACTTCCCCTGCAGTTTCCAGGAATCCAATCAGAGTACCACGCTCCTACTAAAGTCCCACACTTGTGCGTTGCTGTCTGTGCTGTGACTGTCCACTTGTTTCCCCCCACTGGATCCTGAGCTACTCAAAAGGCAGACAATCCTGCTGCCTCATTTTTGAATCTCCAGGTCCTGGCACTCTGCAGGTACTCAAAATTACTCAAAAGCCCTTTCTATTCACAATTTCTCAAGGGGTCATTTTATATAAGTTGAATGAATGTAGTTCTTCATGTGATATTCAATAAATTATCCTATGAACTCATCTGATTCCCACTTTTTGTAAACCAAGGAAGTTAATCTGCCAGAACAAATAACTAGGTTACAATCTTAGTTCCTCTTTCTGACACTATTTTTTTAAGTTATATTTCTTTCATTAAAATGTCCTTATGCACTTAATAAGTAAAATTAAATCCCAAGAATATCAACAAAACATGATTCTTAATGGCATAAAATCAAAAATCAATACTTCTGATCAAATGTATTAGGTAAAAATAAACAAAATGTTTGTGCTTGGATAGCAATGGTAAACCTTTAATGAATCTATGAAGCTGAACTGCCATGCCCTCAAGTATTGCCAGGAATAAAATTCTATACATCGAATGCAAGAAGATAGCTATTCAGAGGGACATATTTTTGAACTTGTTTTGCCCCAATTTCTGCTACATAGATTGCTCCAGTCTTTCTGTCAACTTCTAAGAGATGCGGCAAAACTTGATCTGGTAGTTGGATTGTGCTGATCACAGAGCAGTCACCAATGCTTCCCACCGGGGGTGCTGCCAGAAAGGACAGCCTGCTGAGATTCAGCTGGGCCACAATCAAGTACTTCCCATCTGGAGTAAATCTAAGGAGAAAGACATTTTACATAAATTTATACAGAAGAAAGATAAATGCTTACTTTTGTAAATATTTTTATTCCCCTACAATACTGAACAATAGGCAGCTACTCCCAGAAATATTCTTTTAAGAAGAATTTTAATTTGGTCTAATTCTGTTGAGGGGGAAAACATCTAAAATAGTACTTGTGGCCCAAAATTAGCTTAAATTAAGAAAAACGATAGCCGCAAACAAATAGAGAATTGGCATTAGGCTGGGTCCAATACTATAGACTCAAATTTTGATTTTCCTTCTTTGCTTAGAAATTTGCCAAAGGCTCACACTCTTACATTGCTGGGGACTGCAAACTGGTGCAACCAATCTGGAAAGCAGTATGGAGATTCCTTAGAAAACCACCATTTGACCCAGCTATCCCACTCCTCAGTCTCTATCCAAAGGTCTTAAAAAACAACATACTACAGTGATGCAGCCACATCAATGTTTATAGCAGCCCAATTCACAATAGCTAAACTGTGGAACCAACTTAGATGCCCTTCAATAGATAAATGGGTAAAGAAACTGTGGTATATATACACAACAGAATATTACCCAGCATTAAAAGAGAATAAAATCATGGTATTTGCAAGTAAATGGATGGAGTTGGAGATTATCATGCTAAGTGAAGTAAGCCAATCCCCCCAAAACCAAAGGCCAAATGTTTTCTCTGAGAAGTGGATGCTGATTCATAAAGGGGGTGGGGGTGGGTGGGAGGGAGATGGGATGATGGAGAAACTTTGAATAGGGCAAAGGGGAGGGTGAGGAAGGGAGGGGGAATGGGGGTAGGAAAGATGGTGGAATGAGATGGACATCATTACCCTAGGTACATATATGATGACAAGAATGGTGTGGCTCTAATTCGTGTACAACCAGAGACATGAAACATTGTGCTCCATTTGTGTACTATGAATCAAAATTCTGCTTCCATGCATAACTAATTAGAATAAATAAATTTAAAAAAAAAGAAATTTGCCAAAGGCTGTAGGAGATGTCTAACACATGTTTATTATCTTTGATACTGAAATTCCACAGAGCACTGGAAATTTAACTGTTTTCACTTTATCTGGGATTTAAAAATCCCAGACATCAAATATTTCTGTATACTTTTCTGTTCATTTTCCCCTGCTTAAAGTTAACAATATTATAAACTTTAGCTAGCTTCAGAGGAAATTAATCATACAAATCAGTTAAAACAAGCATTTTAAAATAAAAAGAAATAGTTACCTAACTGAAGAAGGTCCCTCTTCTGTGAAACAATTATTCCATTCTCCTAACCACTCTCCAGTTTCCTTATCAAATACTTGGATTCTTTTATTTCCTCGGTCAGCAACCCATACCTGAAAAACCGAAAACACTCGAAATGTAAAAAAGATCCACGATACAATAAAAAAGAATAATAAATGTTTATTTTCATCCATTTCCAACACATTATCTCTTAGTACTTACAGTTACTAAGGAGTATCAACCCCATTTTCAGATAAGGAAAGAAAGGTTAAAATCATTGTCTATAAAGCTCTTACAAGCAAGAAAGCCACAGTCTATGGCCAAGTGTCTTAATCCACAGGCTGTAATGGTCTGTCTACTTAACCAAACATGAAAGTAACTAAAAACTGGACACAATGCTGAGGATTGATGTACTGAAAAGACAACATTCATTCAATCCTTGAACAAGCATCTACCTTCATTGAGCACTGCTGGTCTGCCAGTTCCTAGACACAAGTAAGTAAAAGCAGCCTTGCCCCTCAGCAGTTCAGTATAGTGGGGAATGAGGCATTTACTCATTCATATTGCAATATCATTAAAACTGCTGTTATTACTAAGGGTTGTCCAAAGTGAACTATTTAAAGGAGGGTGGGATGTTAGTAACACATAAACTATTATAATAATATGCTTAATTTAGGTTTGTTATAGGTAATGAGTTATTAAGGAATTCCTGGTAGAAAATAGGAAGTTAGATTCATTCTAAATGACATTTCATGTGTGTGTGCAATTTACATCATGCATAAAGTATAAGAATTTTGATGATATGTGCCTAGGGGCTGTAGAGATGTATGAAGAATGAACAGGAGGGGAGAGCTAACTTTGCTGATCTTTGCCCCGAACCCTGCACTTCAGGTCCATTGGTTTCTTGGGTTTATGGATTTAGGGACTTTTTCTGCAGTGATATTCTGATTTTATCTTCATCAACATGTGAATTTTGATAGCCATTGACTTCATTTTCAAGCAGAAACACGATGCAAGGTGATTTCTCAAGGCATTTTCCTGATCTGTGATTCTTTACTATGGACAGGTCTGTTCAAGGATTTTGGGATCACTCTCTTAGACAAATGACCAAGGTGTAAATAAAGTTAACACTCTGGGATTGACTGACACTTTATATTGTTAGCAACATCTTTCCTTCTTAATACTCAACAAATTTTGATGATAGGAAATCCTGTTTAAGAAATACTAAGTCTGTCAACTCTGGAGTGAATTAACTTATATAAAGTTGTCATGATGATCAAATGAGTTAATCATGTAAAATGCTTAGAATAGCATTGCTGCTGTTATAAAAACACAAGTGTGTAGAAATTAACACTCACTTTTTATCACTAAGTACAGAGTACTCCCATTGAATGATCTCCAAGGCCTCCTGGAACATTCCTCACCATTCTTTATTTGCATGGGTCTAGGTCTTGCACGCTTTGAAATTTGGTCTTTTTATTAGTCCACAAAGGGAACAATTAACCAAACTCAGAAGGATAATATATAAAACTAGAATTCTAACATTCTAGTTCTCAATTTATATACAAAGTTCATGTGGTCAGTTAAGTTCTTATGGTTGGTAGATTTAGTGATCAAAACATTCTTCATCAATATGTAAAGTCAAATCATAATTAGACAGTTTTCATTGCACACAGAATCAGAAATGAAAATGGAAGAAATGTCTAATGACATAAAGGCAAACTGAAGCACTGTGTATCAAGAGGAATAGCTGTTAATAAGTCTGTGTGGCTAGTATGTGCAGGCACTAACATACAAAGCAAGAGAGACTCAATATGTGCTTTCACACAGCCTACAATCTATTACAGGAGACAATTAAATGATGATAATATAGCATGATAGTTACTATAATGAGGAAGTACAAGCTACTTACTGTAAGAAAACATGAAGAGAAATACAAAAATATTTGATGGCGATTTGATTGTGGAAAGGTAATCCCAAAGAAGTGATATCTGTTCAGAAGGTGAGTAAAAGCTGAAGGAGGTGGTAGTAGGTAGGGGTGGAAAAGATAAGAACAGACTGAAATTTTTTGGTTAAAGGTTTCTGTCCCTCAGAGTGGAACTAGTAGGAATCAGAGTTCGCCCATGAGGCTCTTTTTCATGTTTAAGATTAACCTCTCCCAGCCCCTTTATGATCAATACATTTTTCTCATGAATTGGAAATAGTTTTCCTCTATTTTCAACATTAGGGCAACATTTTTTTCACCTAACTTTATGTTTGGATCCTTATTTGTTCCTTCTAATCCACTGTGCTCATTTCTAAATACTTGGGGAACCCCTTCAGTACAGGACCCCAACATTTGCATGAGTGTGAGTGCATACCCAGCACCAGAACATGTGCCCAGACATACCTAGTAACACACAGATCCACACGCCCATACACACACACATGCACAGAAACTGTCCCAGACACAAATGACACTGTATTTTTACCCGACCAGATGAATCAAGTGTAACACTGTGAGGTATGTTGAACTTAGCAGGCCCTGTCCCATTTTGTCCATGCAGCCAAAGGATCATGAAATCTATAAATAGTAAATTTATGTGGTCAGTGCAATATAAAGAATGTCTTAAGTATTTGTATATTACATTTTGTGATATAAATTGCAAAAAACTAATTATGCCCCCATTCACTTAACTATGCTTTCCTGGCTTTCTATCATCAATTTGCCTAATTTTTACAATGCTTCAAGCAATTAATCTACTTCTTTAATCATTATCTCCATTTGAATTTTTTAATGATTTCAAAATCACCATTAAGGGTTCACATCATTCTCTCTCAAATATGTTCCCTTCCCAACTTTTATTTCATATTATCATTTCACTGAGCTTAAAAATTAACATTATGTTTTTATAGTTTGTCTCCTTTACTATCAATTCTCTAGAGATTAACTGTGGTCCTAATCTCTTTTACTTGTGAATGTAACCGACTTTGGAATTAGGGATGCTGGAGATGCAATTAAGTTGAAATGAGATTATTCTGAATTTAGAGAAGGACTATATCAGGATATATTTCTAGTGAGCTCTATCATTTGGAGATTATGTAGTCATTTTATCATTTAGTAGTAAATTTGTTCAGTAACAGTTAAAGGAAAATAGGGCGTGGTAAATCTAAAAAATCCGATGAAAAAAACCAACCAACCAAATTTAAGAGACAGATTGAATATGGGTATATTAGTTTCCTGTGGCTCCCTTTAAAAATGGCTACAAACAGGTGGCCAACAGAAATGTATTCTCACAGTTTGCAAGAGAAAGGAAGAGGAGATTTGATTGAAACACAAAGCTCCTTTCCTGCTGAGATCTACCACCTGTGGATTTGCAAAATAAAGCCTCCCAGAACTTTTTGCCCTTTCCTCTATTTGCCTCCCACAGAAACCAGTTTAGTTGATGGACTACTTCTTTAGGAAATCTTGTCCTATTCACCAATTTAGTTTCTCCATCTCCTAATTTTTACTCTACATTAAAACAGACTGTGGGATTCCAGGCTCCTAACTCTCCATTCTTAATTGAATAGGATATCCACTTAGCCCTCTCTTTATTTTGTTTTTGTGGGATACCAGGGATTGAACCCAGGGGTGCTTAACCACTGAGCCACATCCATAGCCTGGTTTTTTATTTTCTTTTTGAGATAGGGTCTTACTAAATTGCTGAGGCTGGCTTTGATTCTCCTGCCTCAGCTTCCACTGGGATTAAAGGCATGTGCCACTTCACCCAGCTCTACTTATCTCTTGCACCCATTATACATTCCCATTTCACTTCCAGTTGCTTTTGAAGAAAACCCCTATCCTTGATGAAGAACAAGTAGACCTATAGTAGAATCATTTATTGTTGATAATGCCACCCGTAGTTTTCTAGTTTTCTCCCAGAAATACATTTTAGCTCTTTATAAGCAGCTTTATACCCACCATTATTACAACATTATACAAAATAGCAAACAAATCCAATTTAAAAATGAGATTATTTTAATACCAGAGAAACAAGGCCATGTACCTTGGGACAGTTTGATCAATCTGTTATTCAATCCACCATCTCCATCCACAATGTAAATATCTCCTGTGTCATCTACATAGAGTTCTGCAGGGTTATCAAATTGCAGAGGATTCAAACCAGTGCCTTTTTTCCCGGGCGTACCCAAGACTTGAACAAGATCACCAAAGGTATTGTATTTTTTAACAGTATGGCCATACGATCCTGTAAAGATACACATGAATGTCTCACAAATAAAATTACTGTACAACATTCAGTTTTCAAATAAACTGGGGGCAAAACCCTGATAGAATTAAACAGTAATTCAAGGTTGAATGGCTGAAATAGTTAAATGTTATAATTGATAAGCAATAGCGCTTCTTTATAAATTACAAATTTGTTCATGAATTAAAATCTTAGTTATTCCAACATAAGTGAATTCTAAATTCAAAAAAATAAAAAACACTGGCTCACTACAAAGAATGTTCATAATGTTAACAAACTATGTGTACTATTTTCTTTTATCTTAGGAACCTAAAAAAGATGGAATATAAAAGCAAATCAGAAGGAACTTAAAATGTACAATTTACATGGGAAACTGTTATTTCAATCATAAATGTACAGATTTTAAATTTCAGTAGGCAAGAAAAAGTTCTCTGAAACACAGATCTTTTTTTTTTTAAATATTTTATTGTTGTTGATAGACTGTATTTTATTTATTTATATATGGTGATGAGAATCGAACCCAGTGCCTCACACATGCCAGGCAAGTGTGCTACTGCTGAGCCCCAGCCCCAGCCCCTATAACACAGATTTCTTAAATTACATATTTTCCTTATACAAATTAAAAATTGAACCCACTGATTTTTTTTCCCATGGAAAAAAAAAAATCTTTCCAAATCACTGGCATCTTATTTTCTCACATACATTGAAATTTGAGTTAACATGATCTGATAAGCAAAAGAAAAAAGCAGAACATTAATTAATAATGTTAAATCATAAAGCAGTTACCAGAAATCAACTTGAAGGCATATAAGAAGGAACTAATGGATTGGTAATCAACAAACTAATTGGCTACCCTAAGCTTACCAGAAATAAAGCATATCAGCTTGCATTCCATTTTAAAAAGTGTATTTAGTATAATGCATGTTTTGGATCCTTGAGCCAAAGTTTGCAGCAATAAGAGAACACAGTATTATCAGAGAAAGCAAACCTCAAAATTTCTCAAGAATTGACAAAAAGGATGGAATACTAGTAAATTTTTTTTTAAATGATTGACTTGCAGTCACATTTTCATTAGAGGAAATCTTCTCCTTTGAAAAAGGAGAAATAACAAAAAAACCTGCTTTCCAGATCCATGGGTAGCAAAATAAATTATGGAAATATAAGCTCATCTGCTCTTTTTATTTCTGGGAACAAGTGAAGTCATGTTAAAAAAAAAAATAAGGAATGTTAAAAAAAAAAAAAAAAAAAGACAAAAATAGGGGGAAAAAGTAAAAAAAAAAAAAAAAAAAAATCCTAATATCTAAACTAGCTAGCATGGGAAAACAGGATGTCCCTTAAGTCAAGAACATAACTGGGCCCAGGAACACTAGAAATATTCTATTTATGATCCCGTGCCTTCCTGAATTCTTCAGGTAATGACAGGCTATTTCTGGTGTGGTCTTAGCCACCAGTCCAAGTGAACTGCTTTCTCTGAAAAGTTTCTTCATAGCTGCAAATTAAATTATGCTTACTTCGTTTTTCTGCACTGTCTACTGAAAATATTTGAGACAGAAGATTTCAGACATGCTTCAGTCAGCGGAAATTCAAAACCATTAACACCAGTTTCTATAAATCTCTGTACTCTGGGCAACAAAGTAATTAAGACTTCTTAGCACAACCTCTTTTGAAAGAGAACTGGTGCAAGAAAATAAGAGCTAAGGACTCCAGTCATTCCATTTAAGGATCACTGTCTTATTGGGCTTCATTAAAAGGTGTAGTCTTATTTAACTTGAGACGAACCACCAATGATTTAAAGAGGAAAGGACCTTGACAAGTTTAAAAGATCATAATGATTACAGCCTCCTTGCTTAATTTCTTGATTCTGCAGGAGTACAATATAAAGATTTTTAGGAACCAGTGATTTCAATGAATTATAAAAGAAATTTCGATTAGATTTGGCAACTCTGATTTTAAAATGTACAAGCAAGAACATGGGCAAAGATGTGATTTTCCGCAAGGTAATTTAATAGATATTACTACACATACCACTTCCTACATCTGTGATCCAGACGGATTGTTCATGTAGTGTACTGGCTGCAAACATACCATGAGGTGTGTCAACTGTATAATTCCAGTCTCGTAGGAAATATCCATCCTCTGTGAACACTAATACCTTTGGGATGTTATCCCCTCTCTGAAGGTATACAAAAATAACTGCTTAGATGGCATCGGTTTAAGGAATGGTAATCTTTATTTTGTCGGAGAGAAACAAAAATGAAGTTAATTGAGAAATTTAGTAATGTTTAAAAAAAACAATTTCAAAACCACCAATATTAATATCTATCACATTTAAAACCAAAATATTTTCTTAAGCCAACTTTAAAAAGTTGCATAGCTCGAATAATATGCGTGTACATGTATACTTAGTGCAGTGAAACAGGAAGTCTGCCGTTTCCTCTGTCATAAAAAAAAAAAAAAAATCCTCATTTTACTTACTTGGGCTACATAAACCAATCCGTTGAGTGAGTCAACTGTAACACAAAATGTTGTTCCTGTAAAGTAGTCTGAATACTTAGGCCAATCCAAATCCAGCCGGTAAGCAACTTTCTCTGATCTCCAGGAAATTTGAAAAGCAAAGTTCCTTAAAACCTTAAGTAAAATTAGAAGATAAAGATTCAGTGTGCCCTCCAGGTGTTTTTTTTTTTTTTTTTTAAAGATTCTAAAGAATGAGGTTATGCATCGAAAGACCAAAACGAACATAATAAAACTCTAGAGCTGGGGAAGAGGCGAAAATAGCATCCACACTCCTTTTTAACATCAAGAGGCGACTGGTTCAGCCTCAAGTGTAGGTTTGGGGGACAAGCTGGTGCAGGAGCCAGGGCCCACCATCTCATCCCAACCGTGCCATTCACAACACTGACAGTCGTTTCCTCACTACTCAACTCACCGGGGAGCCACAAAAACGCGAATGCAAAACCAGACTTGCAAGAAAAAAGCCGGCACCGGCCACGCAGACCCAAAATCTCGCCATGACCAGAGTTACGGGAGGGAAGGGTCCACAGGTGAGGGGTGCCGGACAACCCCCCAAGCCTGAGAGGCTGGTAGCTGCAGAGCGTCAGTCTGGATGCCCCGGCTGAAGACCCTTATATCCTACCCCCTTCCCAGAGGTACAAGGAAACAGAAGGCAAAAGAAACTCAAGTCCAGGAAGACCAGTTCCGGGTTTGTAGCGACTTTCCAGGTTCCCGCCCCATGTCAGGTGCCCAGAGGGCCGAACCAGTGACCACCCTTCCCCGCCCTCCGGAAGGTCTCTGCATCCGACTTCTCCCAGCCACCCATATCGCGGCTCCCTTAGATATGCCTTATCCTCTTGTCGTTGATTGCTTTTAATTCAGGTTTAACGATCAAAGCTTCACACCAAACACCTGAGTGATAAGGGAGGAGTCTCACTCAAAAAATGATTCTTAGGCTCCGAGAAAGATTTAAGCTACACCCGATTCCAAAATATCCAGGCATCCGCTGTGGATGCCTACATTCCCACACCAGGACCCTTCACTGGCTTCCAGAAAAGTGAGGCCCTTGCTTGCGGCGCAGAGTTGAGTTTCTTCGGGCGCGACGGGATGTATTGAAGGTCCCTAGGAGCCGGTGGGGGCTGTAGGGGTAATCTGGCAGGGCGCCTGGCGCTGTAGGTATTGCGGTCTTCGCGAGCCCCCTTGTGCGAGGCCGTGTCCCCCTTTCCCCGGCTTCTGGTGCTCTCAGGTCGCGGCCCGCTCCCGGAAGCCACAGAAACTGGTAACAAAGAGCCTGCTGGGCCGCCCGCTGCCCGGGCTGGGGGACCCAGAAGTCTGGAGGAGTGGCTGGGAATGACCGCGAGCCGAACCATGAGTCCAAGATCACTGCGGTGAGGGGCGCGGCCGGCGGCCGAGGCGCTGGTGCAGGCCGAGACGCCGGCGCTCCACTCCTCGCCGCCTGCGGCACTCCGGAGCTGGTGCCTCTGCTCTCCTGGCCGCTCCACTGGGGAAAGTGGTTTCCCGGCCTCTCCCGGGCAGCTCCTGGTCCTCAGCTGCAAAGGAACGGCGCTCAGCCCCGGCCCGAGACCCCGGGTTTCTCTGCAGGACACAGAGGACCTGGCTCTTCCCCGAGGTGCCCCGAAGCTTTGTGTGAAGCATCTGGAGAAGCCGACAGGAGGGATTTTTGTTTTTAATAAAGTTTTTTTTTTTTTTAAGTCTCCGTTTTTAGAATTTTTTCGCGGAGTTTGCATTACACTCTACCTCTTCGCCTTCTTTCTCCTGCTCCTGGAGTGGTTTATTCCTCAGCTGTAAACATTTTTACTATCAGTGGAGCAAACCAGAGATGAACGTTTTGTGATTGAAAGTGTAACCATTAAAAACCACGTCGAAATAGTATAGTCAAGATGGACAAAAAGTCCTTCGAGACGGTGCTGGATGAAATTAGAAAGGTAATTGCACTTGATGCCTTAAATTAATCTGCGGAATAGGAATCATCGTGGTTTAGTTTCTTGGAGGTACTGTGTGTAGATTGCACAAAATAAGAATCAGAGCATTGCCAAATTGGTTTGAATTTTCACGTGTAGTGCAGGAGCTTGTGCCTTGATAGGTTTCACCGTACGGATAGCAATTATGTTATCCCAGTTTGAGAATCAGCGCGGCATTGTGGAATTTGTATTACTCCTCAGTTGTGAAGCCTGCTGTGCAAATCCTTAACAGCTGTGTATTTTTGAATAAGTAATTTAATATTTCTGCGGCTACTTTTTTCCTTTCTGTAACACGAAAGTGACTGAAAACCAGAAGTATCACGGTGGAAAGTTTCTATTACGGCAATTCTCCCCCCCCCCCCCCAATCTAAAGATAGGCAGAATATATCTGCCTCGGCCAAGAACAAAGTTAATGTTCTGATGATTAAATGTGATTAAATTTACTGTGTTGATAAATTGACCATCGATAACTTGAGTTTCAATTTTTTTCTTATTTTCGTGATTCTTTTTGAGATATAGTTGGGTATCCTGCCTCTAGGAGTGAACACAGGAAAAAATTTGGAATGTCGTTTTGAGCCTAGCATTATCTGAAGCTCAAAAATTAGTTACCCATTTAGAATTTAAAGGACTTCTAGTACCATTATTCTGTTAACTGAGTGCCTTGCTTCGGCCTTCTGAGCACTTCTGTGGCTCATTAACTGACACCAAAGGAATTGTTACCACGTGCTTCCATGCTTATTATTTATATCAGCTTATGAGTTTTTTACTAAAATTGTTTCTGGAGCTGCTGTTTCATATTGTTTTTTATAAAATCTTTTTTTTATTGACATGTTTTATTTTTTATATTTGATACTTTTGAATGCTCTTTTTAAAACAAATTTCTACTTTTGTAAATCTAGTTTGTCCACAAGTTTGGAAACAAATACCAATTTGCTAACTGTGTAAAATTAGAGTTTGTCACAATTTGTTCATGAGCTAATTTGTGAATACTGTTTATGAGAAAATAGTTCTAGACCAGCAGATTTCTATTTTTGGATGATACAGGATATCAGTGTATAATTGTTTTGTAGTAAGAGCAAAAGGATTAGTTATTTTTAATGATTAGAGCCACAAAGCTGTGATAACCTGGTGTTTCCATCTTTAAGCTCTGCATATACCTGCAAGGGGAGATATTTGATTTAATTGAGCTTCTAGATAGTAGAGGTCAAGGCCACCAACATCTCTTTCACCTACTGATAGATTTCTATGCAGAAAAGGAACCATTAACTAAATGTAACTTTTTGAAATAGGTGGTGAATTCTGTTCCCTTTTGTGAATGAGGAAGCCCTAAAGGAATTAAAATGCCTAGCAAAGACCTTGAATTCACGGACTTTGGGGCTTTTTGTTTTCTCATTTCCCTGGTGAAATACCAAGCCTCAGCTAGACCTTGTCCTCTTGTTTACCTATAACTTAGCACATAATGGGTACTTGACAAATAATAGATAAATTATACATTTACTCTTAAACAATGAAAATTTGTTTGGTTTTCAGATATTGATTACATATTCAGGAATTATCTGTGTAATTTCTACTAATGTGGAATCTGCCTATTACAATTTTATTCCCTTTCTTTGTAAAAGTGAGTAGGGAGGCCCTACAATGTGGGACCTGAAAGGATAGACTGTTCTGTCACCACATGACCTTAGCTGCTGCCGTGTGCCAGGGCTAAAGAAGCCCTGCCACCATTGAGCTGCTTGGGCAGTTTTGATATATGCATATGTGCTCCTTACATATATTAATGATGTTTTTCTGTTTTTTAGGCTGTTTTGACAGAATATAAATTAAAAGCAATTGAATATGTGCATGGATACTTCTCTAGTGAACAGGTACTTTTAATTATTTGTTTAAATGAACTTTTTTACACCATTGTTCTGGTTAATACCAACTTACCAGCTGTTCAAATTCAGAATTGCTTGTACTTTGTTCTTATATTTATTCAGGAACTTTAGAAGCTTGTGGTTTTGACAGAGCCTGAAAGTAGTTAAAAGTGTGAATTAGTCTGGACACAGTAATCAAAAGTTATAACCTTAATGATAAACTTACAATATAATGTCAGTAATTGCAAAATTCAAAAGAAAACATGAATAAGTGATGAAATGTGTTCTTATGTGAAGCCACTAAATAAAAATCTTAGCAATAAGGAAATATAAACACTGTGTCTAATAAGTAGTTTCTGCCATAGCCAGAAGACTAGTGTTTTAAGCATAATAGTTTAATGAAAACTTTAACCCCACATTAGGAGTTTTTTCTTTCTTTTTTTCTTTTTCTTTTTTCAAGATGGTATCTGCCGTATTCCCCAGGCTGGGCTCTAGCCCATCATCCCCCTGCCTCCCCCAACCCCAGGGTCCCCAGTAGCTAGGATTAGAAGAAGTGCAGCCACTGTGCTGGGCAACTTTGATCATATTTAAGAAAAAAAAAAAATTGTGTATGTATATAAACACACAGAAGAAGGATTTCTGAAGGGCACTAGGAAAATTCTTGATAGCAAAATCGGGCAGACATAGAAACGTACATTTAGAAAGAAGTTGGGAAAGGGTGAATCATGGATGAATCTGCAGACTCAGAGATAGTACCAACTTTTTATTTCTCCAGAGTTTGAATACATGTCAGCTTGAATAACTTTACGCCTGAAGTTCTTCTTAGGATTTGCATCTGTTAGTGCCTTTTTAGGGATAGTTTTTCAGCTTTCCCTTTGCTTCACAAGTTGCCTTATGCTCTTTTTTTAAATCTAAATGTTTTGAAAGATTTATGATTTCTTACAACTAACAGCTTTTTTTTCCCACATACATGCATGTGACATTTTGTAGAAAACATCTTCCTTTAGTGATGCCTTTGCTGACATCCTTTAAAACTTTATTAAACACTGAGACATTCTGAGTCTACCTTATTGAAGATTGATAGTTAAGTTTTATGGTTTGTAAAGTACAGCCTTCACTGTATAGTAAGAACACTGTTCCCATAAAATAAGGACATAAACTCTTCCCAAAGTAACTGGAGAGTATGCCTAATATGTTATTTATGCGTCTCTCTATAAGCAATAAAAAGTATTTTCACTTTCTTCCCATATCACTCTAGTTTACACCATTGACTGGTTCTTGTGGAATAATTAAATTCCTAGCACATTTTCAAGAATTCAGGGTAAAAAAACTCAGATTTTAAGACTCTTCCTATTTAATTCTTCTCCCTTTTGGAGTATCCTCAGAGGCTGTGAACCAGAGTGGTATTGATCATGCTGAGACTTGAAAGTTGTGATCTTGAAGCCCTGCTCACCTCTTACTGCCCATCTCACAATGTCCCCTTCATTCATTTGAAGTTCTCTGGTGGTGGTGGGAATTGATGGTAGCCTGGTTCTCTGAACTGTGAACTGGGAGAGTAAATCTTGGTGGTTCTTACATGATTTACGAGTATTACAGATCCAAATAAAAAGGTAGAAGTTAGTGGACTTATGCTGAATCATACTGTCACACCATTGTGAATGATTAAAACTATGCCACTCTCCATTATTGTTTTAAAGTTTTTCATTCAAATACATCTTTGTGTTCATAAGCTGTCATTTTTATCTCTATCTAGTACTTTTCAGATTTTTTGCCCTCATTAGGATAACCCCCCCATTGAATATCTTCCTTTCTTGCTAGACCAGTGCTATTCAATAGAACTTTTGTAATGATAGACATGTTCTTCAGTTACAGTCCCTTATATTAGCCATAAATTTGGTATGACTGTTGAGCACTTGAAATGTGGCTTATA